ATATACCCTTTTATTTTTCCACTAAAATGCAATTACAATACTCTCTACATGTAATAAGGAAAATGCTTTTAAGATAGTGTGAGTAAGTCAATTTTCTTATCGTAAAATGTAGAAACGCGCCTCGTGAAGGTGTCAGAGAGCACTATTCTCAATGTCCACACAGAAGGCGCACATTGCCACGAGGATGTCCGTGGTGTGGGTTAGCCCTCTCTATCAGGCATTGATGCATATTGATTTGTTTCAGGATACTGTGGCCTGAAAGAATAGAACTGTATCTTCCATTCCCTTTATATACTCTACATACTATGAAGGTAACACGGACAGGATAATTGAAATTAAGATTATCGTATAGAAAAGGAACCTGAAAAAACAAAGCAGTGCTCCATGGCAAGGCAGACATCCAAACAGACTCTGGAATTGTGAAGGTCCATATCACAGGGTTGGAAATTTCTAAGATTAGACCATAGTCTATTCCCCGGTTATCTTTGTCCATTTTCCATTGGGCCTTGTCTCACCTTCTACGAGATTGTTTATTTTCAGTTATCCTGCATATTTGAAATGAATATTAAAAAATATACCCTCTCTGGTCTGTACAGATTTTACAACTTGTTTCTTCTTCAATAAGTTTAAAAAATACAGTTTTAGATCCCAAAATGTCAAGATTTTTGGGTTGAAGTTTGTAATTTCCTCAGCAATACAATTCTTGCAAAAACAGTGTTTCTTGTTTCAATTTAATTCTATATTCCATTAACCGCTTAACCTTCTTTTCAGTCTCCTTTTTTTGATTTCCTTCCTTCCTTCTTATTTATTTAGTTCATTATTTACTCATTTTTGTGGCATTAGAGATGGAATCCGGGACCTTTTCACTGAGCCACATCTTCAGTCCTTTGTATTTTTTTCTTTAACTTGTGATCCTCCTCCCTCAGCCTTGCAAAATGCTGGTATTACATGCATACGCCTCCATGCCTGGCTATCGTTTTCATTTTATTTTACTTATTACAGAATTGAACCTAGGCATTGTGCCCTAGATAAACACCACTAGCCCTCATTGCTTCCTTACTTGATACAATTATGATAACCACAAAACCACCTGGAATGTATCAGCGAAAAGACTAATAGAGTGGTACCTTGGTTCATGAACTTTATTCTTTCCATGACGCTGCTCTCAAAGTATTTTGGACAAGAACCAAATAAATACATTGATTAGGTTTAATGTTGGCCTTATGGGGAAATTTGATTTGGTTCTTGTTCAATTCAGTTTGCAAACAGAATCATGGAAATAATTAAGTTGGCGAACCAAGGGTACCACTGTATCTTAATATGATCGGTGACTTAAATTTCTTTAAAAAGTCTGATCAGGATTTTGTAGGATGTTTTTGTTTGCTTGGCATTCTCACAGCATTCTAAAAGAGTAACTCTAAAAACTAATATTTAGAAACAAATTTTCAAATCCTCTTAATCCTGAATTTCTGAATTTTTATAAATTCCTCTTATTCATGACAGCAGAAGCTACCAATTCTTTCTTAAGTTTATCTTGCCAAAATTATTAATGACAGCCAACATAAACTAGGGTGTTTTTGTAACTCTATTAGGAAGAGCTCTTGTTTTATCAGTCTCTAGAAACTTTGACTCTCAGTTTACTCCATTTGATAGTTTTCCAAATGACTTGTAGTCAAACAACAGGAATTTCTGTGTCTTCCATCCTTTAATGTCAAGCTCACCAGTTGGGAATTCTTGCATTAATTTGAAAAGCTATTTTTTGTTTTTTAAACAATGCTCCAAATTTCAGAAGCTAACCATTAAAAAAAAATTTTTTTTTGCTTATATTCCTGTCTGTTGTGAATTTGAAAGCAGTTCGAAGATGGTTTCTAGTAATTTGACTCAGGAATTTAATTATCTACCAAAAGTGACATATGAGAATAGAAAGAACATGGCAGTTTCTACGGGACTTTTGTATTAGCCTTCACTTTGCTGAGTCCAAATGCTGAACATGCAACCTAAAGGAGCATGGTTTTATTTTTGCTTGTGATTTCACAGGATGCAGTTCATGGTCAGCTGACTGCAAGAAAAGACATCATGGCAGAATGCTGTGATGGAACAAAACTGCTTAATTCATGTTTACCCAGAAGCAGAGCAGGGGAAGAAAATCAGAAAGGAAGAGCCAAGGGGACCAGATACAGGCCCCATGGTGATGAACCCGTGGTCACCCAGATACACCAGAATTGTGCTTTTACCAATCCTTTAGGCAGCTTCTGACACTGCCAAGTCAACTGGACTAACCATCACGGCACCAAATACCTCAACCCAGCATTAATGCATTATTTGTTATATTTCTAGTAGGCCATAACTTAGTTACCTAGCCTGGGTCACATGTCAGCAAAACTGGAAACAACTGCCTTCTTATTTGACAAAAAAAAAGTAATATGGTAATTTTATATGTATTAAAAGCACTCATACTTTTATAGTGATCATAAATTTGAATGTGATCATTACTGTACTTTACACTTACTCTTACAAGATAATTTCACCGAGTACAGAATTCTACTTTGGCAATGTTTCCCTTTCAGCAAATTGGAGTCATCATTCCTTCGATGTCTGCTTTCCATTGTGACTTTTGAATGGTCAGCTGTCAATGTAACAATACACTTTTAAAATTACCTATCAACCCCACTTCTTACTTTTAAAGAATTTCTTTTAAGTTTTCTTCCACAGTTCTATTTTATTTAAAAAATATATTGTCTGCTTTACAAGTTGTGAAGTCAAGTACTTATATTGACTTTTAGTACAAATTGCACTTTATGTAATCAATTATTCAACTGAGATTCTCTTTATAAAACTACTTCAATTAGTAAAAGAATGATAGACTCATATCCATTTTATAACTCCTAACCTACAAATGAACTTGGCCATTGATTATTTTCTTTTACTCTTATTTACCAAATTACTCCAGTCCTTAGTGAATTAATATAATTTTATTTTGCTCATGATTTTGTGAAACAGGAACTGAGGAGGGTCCTAGGTGAACATTTCTCCCTGTGATCTCTCAGTTTCAAGCAAACGTTAGCTAAGGTTATAGTGATGCGAAGACTCCAGTGGGCACACGTTCAGTTCACTGAACATGGCTGAAAGTT